GAATTGAATGCCCTTCAAAATGATGTGCCACTTGACCCCCCTTTCCATTTGAAATTCTGAGGGTAACATCCACCCCTCCTAGGGGGTTGAACCCCGAGGGTTGAAAATATTCATTCAGAGTGTCCCCCTTGCAAATAAAGTTGACCTGTCTGACCATTTTTTCATATTATGTACTGGAAGGGAGATATTGAGGGTGGGAAGTTTTCAAATTGACACACTGTATATTTATTTATTTGATGTAACAAAGTTCAACTGCTTGATGAGGGATCGTATTTATTCATTAAAATTGTGTGAATAAAGGCATGTCACCTATCGGTATTTTAACAGGTTGTGTTAGAAAAGAAATATAACCAACACAGTATTATACAAAAAAAAATACAAGAGATGTTTGGGGTGGTTCCTGAAAATTTTTCAATACTACCCTCAGCGGTAAAGTGGCTTCAACCATTGGAAGCTGCTGGATGCCAAATTTTACACTTGCATGTCTTTTTCCTAATATTATATGTCGTGAATATGATCGATTCAAAGATGGGTTACGGCCAGAAATAAACCAACGATGCAAAGTTAAAAAAATTATTAAATCATTCATAGTTTTGACAATTCAAAACTTATGATATATCTACAACTTACAGTGAATAGTTAACAAATAAAAATAAAATATGTGTGAAACATTTTGAAAATGGTGAATATCCGAGTTATAGATATTTAACATAACATTACACAGAAACCTGACAAGACGAGCACAATTTATTTACGGTATTTCACATCAGAGTTTGTGTAAATTCAAAATATGTTCTTTGCAGGAATTAATTCTAGTTATTTAACATGATCTATAATCTGATGATACCAACTTGGTTGGTAAAATTTACAGTCACTCTGTACTAGATTTGTTCAAACTATGATGATGATTTTCAAGAAGTTTTTCATTAATACAATGAAATCCATAACAAATTTCAACTTGATCTTGGACAGAATATTAGTTATAGAAACCTATAAAGCTTTAAAGTTGTGACTCCAACGGTCATTTGGTGGTATTGAAGAAAAAACCTTCCCCAATTCTCATTAAATCCGTTTGTGTGTGTTATTAGATAATTGATTTATATAACCGTGTTAGGAATCACACCTTAAAAGGTAAGACCTCGTTAGTCCTTAGCTCGCACAAGTTTCACCTTCTGGGGGTTGTTGTTCATAGGGGTGCGACAGCTGGTCAACAGAAAAACAGATTTTTTAAAACAGATTTTTTTTTTGTGATTATTTTTGAGCACTAAATGATCTGCTCATATTAGAGATAGTTCATCAACTCGAGATTTTCAATTTGTCTTTCTTTCAGTTTTTGCGACAAACATGGTCCAAAAAAGAGCTCCAGTAAAGGGAAAGCGCCAACTGACCTAATGTGCGTTGCAGAAGCCATGATGCCCAGAATTATACAACGTTTGATACAACATCTTCGAGAAAACAGCGGATCAGATATTCGAGGGTTGGATATCCACGATACTCAAAGGAAGGCTATACAAGATGCTGAGAACTATATCACTATGGTAGTGGATTTCAATAATATGGGAGGTTTGATGAGACGAGTAATAACGTCTGCTTTGACTAATCCTCAGGTGAGAATTTTAGATGTATCTTCAGTTGTGAGAGAGAATTTTTTTTTGTATAATACAATATCAATACAGAATACGAGAGTAATTTGGTGCGTGATATAAATCAAATTCAAATGAATGGTTCAGAAGAAATAATCTAGTGTCGAACGAAAGTAAAACTCAACACATTATTTCAACTTCAAACACCTCTTGGGTGTTAAACTTTCAGGCATACATTTAGATGATACTTTGACTGGTTAGAGCACATTGACCAACTTAGTAAAATGTCGAAATACCTTTTTTTTTTCGGAAATTGAAAAAAGTAATCTCAGCAGTAAATGTAGTGATCAGTGTACTACACTTTCTTCCAATCTCATATCTCATATGGGACAATTGTCTTCAGGAATAGTATTAACGCAAAAAGGATATTTATGTTACCAAAATAAACACTATAAGGATATTATCTGGGGCTGGTTCCTCATTTTTTATTGTTGAGAATAATGACGTTATCTTCTATTTATCGTCAACTTATGATAGATATTCATAAAAATTGGTCACAATACTAGAAATAAAGATAATTTGATTTTACCTCAAACCCGGTTACAAAGAATGGACGATATTATTGATATTAAAATGTACAATGCCCTACCTCTTACAGTACGTTCTCTGAACTATAGTAAATTTAAAAAACATTTAAAGACATTACTTACGGAAAATCCCCTATATGGTATTAATGACTTTTTCCATTCACTCCCGGGACCATAGAGCAAAGATGCCTTTCACGATTGTATGTATGTACTGTATTATCATTTTTATTGCACTGTATCTTCTGAAGATTTTATATTTTACTTTTGGCATATGTTAATTTGATGGTATTTTGTGACATGTTCTAAAGCTGTAGCTTTGTTATGAACCAAGGTAGGTAATTGTATTTATTTAAGAATTTACTGACAAGTGAACATAATTGTATTCTATTTATTTTCATCAGAAATGAGCAAACCACCTTTCAAATTCAACTAGTATAATGATCTATCTGTAGTTAAGTTTTATCATTCTTTAAATATTAATGTTAGAATTCTCAATAGTTGCCATCATTTCGTCATCCTAGCAAGAGATGATAATTCCACTTTTTTTTTGTTATTTTCAGAAATACAGAATGTTAAATCAAGTACCTGAGAACCCCGAGTCGGAGTATGACCAATATTTGATAGAATCAAGGCTTGCCTACGAAAGAGCCTTGGAATCCCTCCAAAATACAGAGCCCCTAGAAGAATACCAAGAGTACTACAATTTTCAGGAATCGTTAGTTCACAAAACTTTTCTGGAAGAGCTTGTGTTCTGGACCGTAAAATATGAATTTCCCCAAAGGATTGTTTGCCTCGTATTGAACATGCTTCCAGATCCTGATTACAAAGAAGCTCTGACTAGAGCGTTTGTCCTTCACTATAGTCGCATATCCATGATGTTGGAGAGATCTTCAGATCCGGACACGTTGAGCAACCGAGTGGTGCATGTCAGTGTACAGCTGTTCTCGAACGAAAACCTGGCAACAAGGATGACGGAACAGTTGAATCTTTTGCACGTTATGGTAGTTAGTTTGAAGTACATGATGAGTAAGATACTCATAAGGAGTACGATACATGGTAAGAATGAGGTTAAATTTTTTACATGAAATTAATTGATTTGAAATTACATTTATGTTTTATAATTTTTTTATGTCAATCAAAAATGTCGATCATGTGACAACCTGTTGAGTTCATTTTCTAATACCTAATTACATATTGTTGCAAATATTTTTTAATTAGGTTTAAAAAATTCACAACTTACCCCAAAAAAATGTTGCTAGTTCCTTTCTTTCACCCAATATGTTGGCAATTAGGGAAAATATGAAGGTAATGTAGGAAAATGAAGGAAATATGAACTCTAATCGAAAGATCTTCCGAAAATTGTTCCCAAACAAACAAACATCTAAATTCAAATGTATCATGAACCGATGAAACAATAATAATAATAATATACCATGGTATCCGTCTTTCAAAAACTCAAGGAACATACTACTTTTTCCTACCAATACGGTTCGTTTTCCTTTTACCCAATTTCACTCCCTGCGTTATTTATACATACATATAAATATATTAATTCTGTCAAGAAATTGTAATTCTTATGTAATATATTAATCAATGATATTTTTATAGACGTAGAAGAAAACTGCCACTGGGTTGTTGACTGTGCAAAAACTGTCATGAAAAACCATTGCTATTGGCCCTTGGTATCGGATCTGAATAATGTTCTGTCTCATAGACCAGTTGCCTTGAAGTTTATGTCTGATGATGGTCTGCTAGAAATGTGGTTTTCATTTCTCTCCATGTTTCAAGGTAAGAATATATAGTAGAATCATTTTCAACATTTTGTCTGAAACTACTTTCTTAACAAGATAGTTTAGTTATTCTTTAATAATATTGTTCGTGGGTATGAAATTTATGTTTATTAGTGTTGAAGGCATGCATAATTAACATATTCTGTGTAGTCCTTGAAACAACTGATGACTGAGACTCATCTCCTGATGATGCTAACTTGGTTAGCGAAACCCGTATTGAGAAACGTGCTCGAGGTGTGTGGAAGATGTGTTTCATTAGACTGTTTTCATATAATAGTGATAAAATCTGCAGTGGGTACATGTTTATAGTTTCTCACTCACTCAGAGATTGTTTTTTTTTGCACTTCTTAAAAAATAAGTGGAATTGACCATCTTGCCAATTATTCAGTTATCCATTTGTATTTGTGCTTAAAATTACTCAAGTTTAGGTGGAAACTCAGCTATTATTCTATATTAATTTCTGCTTTTCATATATAGGAAGTTACTTGCAATGAATCTTCCAAATGGAAGGCGTTGCACATATGCCTGCTAGTTTTACTTCAGCTTTCTGCGAGGCATTAGCTAGGTTAGAGGTTTTTTTTCGTCAAGTATCTGCCACACGTACCTACAAAGTTGTAGGACCACATGAGAGGCAATGGGTAAGGTGTTTTTCACTCGAACTTGAGCATGTCATATGCACGTACCTACAAAGTCGTAGGTCTTCATGAGAGGCAAGGGGTAAGGTGTTTTTCACCTGAACTTGGGCAGGTCATATGCACGTACCTATAAAGTCGTAGATCCTCATGAGAGGCAAGGAGTAAGGTGTTTTCTCACCTGAACTTGGGCATGTCATATGCACCTCTCCGAAACCTGTTTATATTCTGACTCCTACCCCTGAGTATGTGTTGGAGTTGTTTCCCGACTTTTTCTGCAGGTGGCGCAGTGAACATTCTACTGAATCAACTGCAGATAGGGCTTATGACAAGTTGGAATTAATTTTGTTTGTTCGAGATACTCGGACGGTTCACTCCGTCTGAAATGACCTGCCCGGTACTGAAGTGGGGCAAGTACCCCCAAACCGGTCTATCGGTGATCGTCTCGACTAAATGAATCCACATGAGAGGCAATGGGTAAGGTGTTTTTCACTCGAACTTGAGCATGTCATATGCACGTACCTACAAAGTCGTAGGTCTTCATGAGAGGCAAGAGGTAAGGTGTTTTTCACCTGAACTTGGGCATGTCATATGCACCTCTCCGAAACCTGTTTATATTCTGACTCCTACCCCTGAGTATGTGTTCTACTGAATCAACTGCAGATAGGGCTTATGACAAGTTGGAATTAATTTTATTTGTTCGAGATACTCAGACGGTTCACTCCGTCTGAAATGACCTGCCCGGTACTGAAGTGGGGCAAGTACCCCCAAACCGGTTTATCGGTGATCGTCTTGACTAAATGAAATTGATTTTTGCTTTTCATATACCCCAAGCGATGGGTAGCTCAACTGAGAAATACTGCTCTCAGGAGAATCAGCATATGGCCATCAGAATTTTCTTTAAAAAAAACAAATATCTGAGGATAAACAAATGCCTGAAAACTACTGTTGCAAATGCTTTGAAATAACTATGAATCTAAAATTTCATGATTTGTAGCTGTAGTTTGCTGCATACTTCTGACATATATTGCTCTTAGTAGAATCAAGTTGGCTAAGACATGTTCCGTGAAAATATATCTATATATAAAACGCCGGCTTCCCTTCTATGTTTCATGGTATCAGTCAAAGTTGCTTGTGATGCGTAAATATCATGATCCTTATGTCTTTCAGTCAGTTCACGTTTGCAGGCTATCTAATACTATTCTTGAAAGTGTGAAGGTGATTTTTCTGAGGTATTCTACATGTTACATACATTTCATAACCCCCAAAAAATCATGAATTGTCATATTTGATCAGTTGAAATATGGAAATAATGTCGTTTCAATATTTTGTTGTAATTTCAGGTATGAACGTGAACCAGAAAGAAGTGGCTGCGCATATTGAATTTGAGCCCAACACTTACTATGCAGCTTTCAGTGCAGAACTAGAGGCGAGTGCCTATCCTATGTGGGCTCTGGTTTCTCATCTGACAGATTCCTGGACAGCCGCTTTAACTAGAAGGGTGTTATCCCTTTGTATCAAGGAACTGAGGGACTGGTTCGAGTCTATTGCATATACAAATCCTTCTGTGGTAAGTTGTGTGGTGATCTTAAAACGAAAACATTCCATTTGAAAATGTTATTTTTGGGAATATTGAAGCAAATTGCTATTTTGAACTGTTGCTTATAATATCATGTGTTAACATGTATTAACCTGTATAAATAAATAAATAAAGTAGAGTACTCTCAATCTATTGGGTTGAACCATTAGGAAAGTAGTTTTATCAAATATATCCTAGTTTATTGAAATTCATTATATCTTGAAAATATTTTTCATAAAAGCTATTTATTGTCTATTTAGATGAAGTTCAATCCATCTTATTTGGACTGAACGTTTCAGTTCAATACTGCTTATTCCATCAATTGAATTGCTTCTATTCTGATCAGTTTCGAAATTAAATTGCGCAACTTGAATCAGTCATTGAATTCAAACTAAAAAAATGCTGGTTTTTGAATCAAATTATTTTTTTCAGGATGATAGTCTTCAACTGTCTTTTCATCTGCCGCTTCATAGATTTCTTGCAGTCTTCCTTGGTCAAGCCGTATCTAAGCAGGGAATCAAATTGAATGAGGTGCTGCCACCTAACGACTCGTTTCTGAACCTCGTTATGATGCATCCTCTTCGAGTACAGGTAAGTCAGTTTTTTTACCTTTTAAATATTGTTGGTTGAGAAACGGGAACAATTAATGTTAATTTGAAGAAGTTGAGAAGGTAAGAAACAATTACCACAGGATAATACCCCAGTGAATAGGCATATGGAAGGTCGTAATGGACTACCAAGGAAAAGTTTAAATTATCTCATGATGATGCTACTTTGGGTGGTAAAACATGATTTGAAAAAAATATAACATTGCTGTTGTTGAAAAAAAGTTTTTGTTGGTGGTTTTTCTTCCAGTTGACATTTACTATCCCTTATGGCAGAATCTGGAAGAAAGTGTAAAACACTTAGCTATTTGGGTATTTTCAAAAGATATCCAATAGGTATATCTATTAGTATTATATTTTTGTAAATGAAAAGTTGGGAAAACGTTTTGGTTCGTCAATGAGTGACACTTTGTACAATAAACTAGAATATATTTTTTTCACAAAATATATCGCTGCGATGATCTTAATCATAATTTTTTGTTTTTGGCTCCACTGGTCTTTCTCAGGTGGCTTCCCGAGATTTGTCTGGGTAACGAAATAATTGAAAGGGTACATTATTATAAATTTCTAGGGGTACATATTGACGGCAAAAAGTTTCTAAGGAATTGCTTTCTGGGGAGTTTGCTCAATAGATTAATTTCAAATAATTTTCGTGCTTCAAAAAATACTCCACATGTGCATAGCAGCTACCAGGAATACGTATGAGCCTCTTTTCAAAGATGAAGATGTGCTCAATAAAGAAAAATTATTTATCTTGTGTGACCTTTATTTCTGCAAATAATACTCGTAGCAATAATAGCAACATTGACCTGCCTATTCCCGCGAACTGCTTAGAGAATCAATAATATTCAATGGTATTAAACTGTTCAGTTCAAACTAAAGAAATAAAAGCGCTTAACAGATTCAGAAAGGCACTTGAAATTCTAACAAACCTACAACGGTTTACTGTTTCATATAATATTTTTGCTTGACTCCCACTGATACTTCCTTCTGATTACTTGAGTTTGTTACATTTTACATTCTGAAATAGTATCAGAAATATTACTGGAGTTTTTGCCCAATACCAAATCGTTAATTTTAACACCTCGACACGTGTTTCGATCACCAAGTGATCATCTTCAAGAGGAAGATAAGTAAGACTTTGTCTGACAATAAAGTATATTTGATTGATTGATTGAAAATCTCGTCTCGAAAGTTACGGAATTTTTTATTCTGATTCTTTTTTAATCTACCAAGGTAAATCAGAGACTTCGACATCCCAATAAACCTGTTGCATCAGAGGTTGGAACAATTTTTTGTTGGTACATTAGTCAAGAAGTCAACAGTGTTTCTTGTACTCCACTAGCGACACACTCCGGCTCCGCACGGGTGCAATGCTGATACTAAATATATATATAAACACATGCGATCGCTGCTAATCATAAAGTGCCATACGGCGAAGCGCGTCTCCAGCCGATACCACCTCAACCAGTATGTCTGCATTTTTAATCAGTAATATCTTCGAAAATATTTATTTAAATTACATACTGTTAGGGATAACATACTAATTGGATAAGGAATAATGCTGTATTGCTTGAAATAATTTCGTAAATAAGCCATTATTTTTTGACAAAAAAAAATTGTGGGTTATCCCTGAGAGATAGACATATACCATCACACACTTTTTTGTAGACTTTTCTCAAGGTGTGGTAGATTTTTTGATCTATCTCTTTGGGTTCAGCCAGCGTTTGCAATGTAAGCACAAAAAAAGTGTTTATTTACGACATCACATTAGAAACCTCTAAAATTATCAGTGTTTCGCTACTATATTACGCATGTTATATACATATAAACCTCCCTTTTGAATCAGTATATCTATTTAAAAACCCGCATTAAAATTAGCTGCGTAGTTTTAAAGATATGAGCATACATAGGAACGGACAGCGGAAAGCAACTTTGTTTTATACTATGTAGTAATTTAGTAATCTCACATCGATAAATAAGACCTCGTTGATTCTCGTACAAGTTTCTACTTTTGAGAGTATGTCTTTGTAGTGGGATGATAGCCGATTAACAAAAACCCATTTTATACCCATTTTTATTTCGAATGATTTCAACTTAGACCTCAATCACTAAATCTAATTGTAACACATCTCCATATAGTTCAGTTTAATCATATCAAGTTTCTTTTTCGGTGAGATAACCGTTACTAAAAAATATCAACATATTCGTAGACTGTTCAAAATTAAAAATGTTTATTCACAAAACTATTTTCACAGATAATTCGAAAGAGTATAACTTCTATTTCTATTGATATTTAGAAAGTTGTAACACTGTTGAAACTACATCTATAAAACTGTCAACTACCACTAAGGACATTCATATCATTCATCTGAATCATTAACCCAAATCAGTTTGGCATAACCTCAAATTCTTTGTCGGTGTCTACTCTATTCTTCGCTTCGGGAAAATTCACTATCATGTGCTGGGTAAAGTCGTATGTAGTTATTTTTGGAGCTACAAATCCACCATATCCTGGATTACCTTTGTAGTAAAGACCTGCTCCCTTGAGGGGAACCTGGGGAAATGATGTCACTGGTTGTATGTCAAAGAAAGGCACTGTCGTTTGGGCAGCATCTTTTTCAAAGCTGGTGTGAGTGAAGTCTATGTATCTATTTGGACTCCAGTTTGGTTCTGACGAAGGTGATTCTGTAGGTATGGCTGCATCGTCCAAGTCTATACTATACCTGAATATTTTAAAATGTTAGCAAACGACTATAATATAAATTAATTCGTTCATATTCATGTGGCTGGGATTAGATCAAATAAGCGAATGAATGTCATCGATGAGGTACTGTCATTAAATTCAGCTTGTTTATTAATTTGGAAATTGCATGAATTTTCTTGGTCAAATTTCCAAGCCTAAAAAGTTTTCTTGTCATTCTTTCAGTTGTTATTACTTCAAGGTCTTTAAAATTTAGTTCTTCAACGAGAACTTACCTATTCCCTGAACTGGATACGTAATATGAGTTCAGAGATACTACTCCTGTGGTGAAATTGAATGGGGAGACTCGAATTTGAAATCTTAAATTTCCATTTTTGTAATCGAATTTGACACCTGAAAAAAAATTGAAGTATTGAAGATTGTGGGTTGTGGACTTGTGCAAGTGAGATTAATTTTTTGAATATTACATTTTCGGCGCTGTTACTCACAAACGTTAGTAAAAATAAAAGATATTTGAAATTGTTGATTGTGATATAACTGACATGATGTTAATTTTTTTTCCACTTCACATGAATACTTTTTTGACATTACATTATATTATTTTTTAATTATTCATATATTTTATATTTCATACTTTTTATTTTGCTTCCATATTCTGAAAAAAAATTCAAAAATTTTCGGTACAAAAATGTTTAACTTGAAAAGTGTACACTGAAAAGCATTCTATAATGCTTTATCTTTAGAAAGTGGCCAAAATAGCTCTAGAATAACAGAAGTTGTAGTATGAACTTTTCTATTATAACGTTAAGTTTATTTACATGATTATAAATATAGGGATTGTAGAAATAATTAGAAAACTAAAAACTAACCTGAAAAATTGAATATAAAATGGGGCTATAAAGAAAACTAATGTTTTCTGAATTCAAGAATTTGAACGGTTGAACGATTACTTTATTTAGCATAAGTCAAAAGTGATTGAGTGAACATATATAATCATAGAGAAATTTACATCATAATCATTAATTATATCCAATGACTTCTGTTATACCAGACAGTGTTAGTAACCACTGCAAATTCTGAAACTACCTAAGACAGATTGATAGACAACTATTATTCGTATTTTCGAAGAAAATTGTACTTTTTATGTGACTTGTCCAATAGTTTATATTTCGCGTTATGAAGGCATCAAAAGTAGAATCCTGATACCCATTTTTTTCTGTTAAGTTTATAATATAAGAGCAACACAAAAATACCTGTTATTTTCCACATCGGCGTTTACTGGTCTCAGGTTGAAGTATCTATCTGATTGTGATCCTTGCTCGTCACACAGGCATAAACAGGTTGAACAATGAACAAACCATCGGGTCCAACTGTTAACCTTTCGGTTATAACAACGAGTCTTTCCTCCCATGGTTCTACCACTGTCGAATTCAATGTATTCGTATCTTCTCAAACTGCTAGCGGGCTACAAAATTTCTTATTGAAAAATGATACAAGTCTAAAAAGTACGTTAAATATTAATAACCAACTGTATTCTGCTTACTAGAATATGTACGTTGTGATTTTTTTTTAATAAACTCATTTGGTATTTTCCAACATATTTTATGAGTTTGTAACACGTTTTGCATCTTGAAAATCTTTCTTCACATGTTTCCCAATATACATGTAGAGAAAAATTAATTCAAAACTAATCATTTTTTGGTAGCTCAGTGTAAAACTTGATACCTTTAAATAAATCGAATTTTGCCCAATATTTGTTTTATATTTCGTTACGTGTGTCTTAATTTTTTTTGTGATCAACAAATAGTGCTTACCGAGATGCAAGCTGTCATATGCGATTCAATAAATCTGCAATTGATCAAATTGCCTATGCAAGGTTTTCTCTTTCTGCAGTATTCACTTTCTTCGTCATAGCATCTGCTTCCCTTGGTGAAGGAGTAGGTGTCACACGTTTGTGTGCACGTACCTACATTATTCAGATCAACTTCATTCTGTATGTGAGCTTGCAGGAGTCTGGTCAGTTGATCGTATGTAGAACCTGAGCAGAGATATATTTTGAAATGAGGTTATTGTCATTATTCCAGGATTGGCTGAAAGGTTCGTAGGCTAACACACAGATGGCGCTACTAGTATAGTTAATCCTAATCTTCAGAAGACACGTGTACAAATTGCACAGCTGTCGAACTATTAGTTTATGGGATAGAACATTTTTAGTGAAGGAACTTTTGTTGGTGAAGATGGTTAAAAAGGAATTCAATGTGTCATTGTTTCTTGGCAAAAAAATACTTATGAACCCATGGCTTGGTTTGATAAACATTATATGATTTCAATCAAATCAAAATATGCTTTATTACCCAAGATCTGAACATCTTATTGGCAAAGTCTAGTAAATTAAAACGTGTATATGGGACATTAAATTAACAAATATAAGATATAAAATAATGCCTAGAGACAAGAGCAGAGTATATAGAGAGAACAATATCAACCCCAGCTGAACAGATACAAATATAAGTACATGAATATATGAATATTGAAATGTAAATTTATAATGCTATGTAATGTAATATAATAGCCATTTCATGTTGATTTCAATAACTTGTTTACACAAAGCTACATGGCAATTATTCGATAGAGCCTTGGTAGAATTCGTCCACACTATAATAGGGCTTCCCAACAAGGAATTCTTTTACTTTGTTTCAGAATTTCTTTTCATTATATATTCGCCTCAAATCAATGGGAAGGTGATTAAATAACTTCTTGATATTGAAAATGATAGAATTTTGTGTAAGGGCTAGAGTAGGTGTTGGAAGGGAAATGAAGTAAGACTGACGTGTACTATAAGTTAAAGTGGTATTAAAGTGATTTTTATATTTTTTATGGATGAGACACACTGTTTTGATAATAATAGAAACATGTTCGACACCATTCATAATAACTGTAGTTGTGCTCTCTCTCATATATGCATCCAAATGAATTTGTTTCATTATAACAGTAAATTTTTTTCTTTAACTCCTAATCTCGATGGTTTTTCATGATAATTATTTATTCGGGTAATTCTCCGGGGTTATTCTGCTAATTTTGTAGAGCTACCATAAACCTTTTATTTTTTGAACGGATCAATTAAAAAAATTGAAATTTGCGATAATGAAATTAATGCACGAATACTTTATTTTGAAGTGAAATTGCCATCTGGGAAAAAAATTAAATGGAAAGGGGGGGGTCTTGTGACATCATTATGAAGATCCTGACGAATACTTGACAACCCTAGAATATGAAGTCAATATCTTCACCCACTACAAAATGGCGGAACATTTAATAATTTCCTGAAGACAAGCACATTAATATCGATATTTCAGAAATATTCCTTTTTATCTGGCACCCGATGAGGTTTGTTGAGTTATTTTTTGTTTATAAAAACGACAAAAAATGTCAGTACGACAATGAACATCATTGTTCAGTTAGAATATTCTCATTTAGTTTTCGGTTTTACTTGTAGAAAGGTACCCCGTCAACAATCTCTAAAATGGTCAATTCTCGTCCATTGGAAGAAAAAATTGAAGCGATTTTTATTTACGGTACGACGCGTAACTTTCACGAGACCGAAAAGATTTTCAATGAACGTTTTCCGAATCGTTCTATCTGTAGAGAATATTTGAGGAAACTTGTATCGAAATTCACACAACTACCGGTAGTGTACATAACAAAAAGCCCCCAGATCATCCGTATATTCCGGAAGAACAGCAAGTGCAAATAATTGGTGAGATGGAAGTAAATCCTGAACAGTCTACTTATTATCTCGCGAATGTTTGTGAGGTGTCTCCTTCTACTGTGTGGAGACTTTTGAAGAGGAATGGATATCATCTATACTAAATTAAAATGGCACAGCAATTAACTGGAGATGACCCTGATCGAAGAACATAATTCTACGAAATCATGACTGAAACCATTGCAAGGCATCCTACCTATCTTCACAATATCCTCACGCTTTCCGGGAATAAATACATACCCAATATCCAGAAAAAATTAACGTTTGGGCAGGAATATTGGAAAACCATATTGTAGAACCTCTATATTTATTGATCAAAATTCAACAGGGGAACTGTATTTGAATACGCTGGAAACTACTGTTGATCCTCACATCACTGAAATCTTCGAAGCGAATCCTAATGAATTCGATGTGAATATTGTATTCCAACAAGATGGAGCACCACCACATTACTCCAGACAAGTAAGAAACTATTTGGATACTACTTTTCCCGGTCGTTGAATTGGCCGTCGAGATCCTACAGTTTGGCCAGCCCGCTCGCCAGATTTGACACCTTTGGACTTTTTAATGGGACTATTTGAAGCAAAAGGTGTACGAAACTGAACCTGCTTGAATATTGGATATACGGCAGAGAATAATAAATATTTGTAGAGATATTGACGTTACTGTGTTCGAAAATGTTCGGCGTGAAATATCTGATAGGCTATTCATAAGTCAAGAAATTCAAGGCAACCATTTCAAGCATCTTCTGAACTGACCTCAAGTTTATTACCTCATATTATGTAGTTGAATGTCAATGTTTCAGTCAATTATTAAAAGTTCCGCCATTTTGTAGTAGTTGAAGATATTGACATTATATTCTAGGGTTGTGAAGCATTTGTGAGGAGCTTCAAAAAGATGTGTCACAAGACCCCCCTTTCACTTCAAAATAAAGTATTCATGCATTAATTTCATTATTCCAAATTTCAATTTTTTGAGTTGACCCGTTGAAAAAATAAAAGGGGGGGGACATTAAAGAAATGCACTGTATAAGAGTACGCGAAAAGGAGAGCAACTTAGTTATAGGGGTAAATCAAATAAGTGAAAAAAAAACGTTCTTTTTGTTGTTTTTTAAGATCTGTAAAAATAGTTAGTATCCTGTTGATTATCCTTTCAGTTACCATATATGATTGGCAAGATTTATCAAGGCACTTACCGCTAGGATCTTATTCATACCAAATGAAAAGAAGGATTATTGAATTATACAAATAGTAAACCATATTTTGAAGATTTCCAGAAATGAATTCGAAAAACTAATGCAACTACATCTGTAAGTTGTATATTAAACTACTTGATAAAATTCTTACCTTGAATATGGTTTTTTGGATCACATCTCCATAGCTTCGTGTCAGTTACTTCCATGGCGCCACGCAGAGACGATGCAGTAGCATTTAGTCTAGATTCATATTGTTTTCTGGCAACGAGTGATAGTTCCGTATAATTTCCTTAAATGAAATGAAATTGGTCGAACTATCTCTATACGTTGTTCAAAAAATAAGGTGAATATTCAAACTTCGCGGGCTACGTACATTCTTTTAGTGATTTTTTTTATGTTGGTACTCTCGTCTCGAATAAATGTTCAGTTTCAGTTGTTAAGCAGAGTTGCCAACCGTAACGGTAGCGGCGTAACGGAATTTTCTACAAATAATCAATATTGAAAAAAATATGGAAGAAGATACAGTGGGCGCACTCGAAGCTGACAGCTGACAATTGAATAATTGAATGCTGTCAATACGTTATAGTCTCAGTAGCTGAGGCCATTACGTGAAGAAAGAGAGGAAGAATATTTTTGGATATTTTCATTACTATTATAAACCATATAACCTCCAATATCTTGGAACTAAAAGTCTCGACTCTTCTCGAGTATTATGAATGGGGAATGTTCCTCCTGACGAAAATCAAGTAGTTTTCATAAAAACGCTCTACAACAACTTATCATTTCTAGCGAATTTTATGTTTTTTCTTAAATAAAACGTTCAACATTTAATTTCTCAATAACGAATGAACCAATTTCGTAAAAAATTACAGAAATAATAGAGGGACAAAAGACCTTTCAAATGATGTGTCACGCTGGAAAAATAGGGGGTAGGGGGTGACCGCAGGGGGGTGAAGTTTCGGGTATGATTTTCATATCAGAATTATTCCCCCTAGAAATAAAAATTGACGTGTTCTTTGAAATTTTCGGTTAGACGTTCGATTCTGACTTACAGTGGGGGGGGTCAAGTATTCTTTGGAACGCCCTGTATACTCGTATAATACCTATTTATCAGAGGGCTTGCACAAGTGCGTTGATTAACACTATCGTTGCCACATGACTGGTCGATTTTTTTGTTTTCTTTGGGTTTGGTTCAATTTGAATTCGTAGGGAAAAATGACCGAAAATTGCTTAACGACATCATATAATAATAATAATCTGAAAAGAGGCAAGAGCCATATTGAGATATGGAGCTACAAAACACGTAACATTTAAATGGACAGAACGTTTGAAAAAACCTGTAAACACTGGTCTTAAAAAATCGCTCCCTGACGGAAATTGAAATTGCTGTCTAGAAAAAGTCCTAAAAATTTTATAATGTCAACCCTTTTTATGTCGACATCGGTTTGAATCTAAGAGCGAAAGGCATGTAACATACACTGTGCTTGGAGACTCGAGCGGTCTATGTCAGTGAAACCAACTCGATCAAACTATAACAAAGAACAAACGGAAAAGTTCTTCCTTAAAATTGGAATTATTCATAATTAAATTGGCAAAAAAGTAACCATGTGAAAAAGTGAAGGACGTGAAGAGTGAAAAAATCGTTCTATCTCGTCATTAGTTGACATACCAAATGAATGAATCTTACGAACGTCTTGCCTTTGATGACTCACCCTGTGAGTTAAAATAATTGGTACGTTGTCTGCGCTAGTAAGACTCACCTTTTGTATTCGGCTATCGAACGAATGAAATTCCTTGATGATGTGTAGGCCGGGATCTGACGAATCGTATTTGTTGTGGTCCAACACGTAATCCCAAAGTTTGTCTTCTAAGGTCAAAAACTCCATCCTCAGTTGATCCACTAGCAAATTCTCGTGACATTTTACCTTCGCAACGACGGCTAAAAGGAAATATAAAGTTACCGAACTGCACCACTTCATATTTTTCAACTCCAAATCGTTCGCTTCGTTTGTTAGTTTAACTCTGCCTGCTTTGGTAAATCTCCGAATGACTGACCGCTGATGTTGTTCGTTTAGCCTGTAGTCATCATATTATTATTGACAAAGGAGGAGATATAAATGTTTTTCTTGATGTGTTTATTTTATCTGAGATAAAACTGGTTAGAGTTTGAATTGACCTCACAGTTCCGGCAGTGGATAATAGATAATCGTCGTTTGCTTTTGCTTAGATGGCTAAAAGATAAAAGTTTCGAAAGTTTTAAATAGTTTTTGTTCGCAAGGGGGGCTGGCTGTCTCGTTTGATTTCCATTAATAGTTAATATCACAGATGAATCATCGTTCAGAGAAATGTTTATAGGTAGTCACAGTCTTATATATCTATACGAAAAGCCGTGTTAATTATTAAATATTCTTATTCTTATAAAGTTCTCAGGTTACAAACAACTGTTTATGATGTGTCTGTTTGCTCTTGGCTGAAATAAGTTTATCAAGAAATGCTTATCACTTTTTAAAATGAACGGATGAATTCTATTTATGAAGGTCGACGAGTTGAATGTTTCTGTGTTATAACTTGTATCGATGTGAACATTTAAAATTTTCAGGGTTAGTCGAGCTGATCTACAATTCTGCTTAATTTGTAGGACGATTTGATGTATTTTTTCGATTTGTCACTACAAAATTCAAATTTCGGAGATTTTTTGAATGAATGACTTCAATGTTTCTCAAATAATTCGTTTTTGGGATATATGAACTCTCGTTTGAAGTTTCATTATTATTCAACTCTGAGAGACTTTTAGAAACAAGATTTAAATGTAACGTGAATCGCTACTTTCGCACAGGCACCGCTCTTAGAGCGACTTGACGATTTTTCTGTAATGCTTGTTTTTTGTATAATTTAATTTTGTTAATTTGCTTTCTTATTTTTTTTTTCAACTTTTCGTCATTGTTTGTGCTCACCGTGTTGAGGGTTAATGAATTAGGATACATAAGTTTTATGGATTTTTTTTGGGATATCTGGGATTTTAGGGAACTTTTGACCTTCTCAATTTCTCTACATATTTATATTATTGTAAGCATTATACCTAAGTGTCTCTTCGATACTTCTTTAGTTGAACTTCCTTCGCAATTTCGGCTATTACTTCTTCCATTGGTTTAGCCACCAAACAATCTACCCAGAAGTTTTATCATAAATGAAAATTCGAGTGGTTACACATGACTAACCTTTGTTGACAGGTTATTGTTCTTCGTGTTGCAACACTCCGCAACGTTCTCGGGCTGTACCCACATACCACAAATTATTCAAAACCCTTTGAAACCTATTTAACCAAATCAAGCAAATTTGAGACTATCTTGAACCGATTTTTAAGAATCCAACTGTACCACATTTTTCGCGATAATAAAAAAAGAAACGTTACTGTTTTTTTTTTTCTACCCAAAAAACAGCAACAATAGATACCGAAACTAATATATGGGGTATTTTTTAATTTTAATTCTTTTAACGATAATTGACTGTTAACAAAATATGTACAAGGCTTGGCAAGATTGAACAAATAGATTGGTGCTGCCAGATAATATCCTTTAACTGTTTCAATTGTCCAATTTTTTTTATAAATACAAAATGATTGTACTACACGTACACGGGCGTTCACAAAACTCAAAACGGGCGTCTGCAGTCAACTTGGTGCTGATCTCCGCCGAAATGTCATCGCGGCATCCGCCGTACACTAACTACAAACTTGCAGTCGTACCCAACCACGTACACCGTCGTGTATTGGTCTCACAGCGTTCAATTTCTGATTTCAAAATTCTAATTAATTCATCAAAAGAACTAATGGACATTCTGAAGTAATTAAAAAAATGTTTTTCGTCTTGCCGGAGTTTATCGAATAAAATATAAAAATTTCCTTCCTGTTGTCGCGCAGCCAGAAGTGGATGTACCCAAAGCGATCGTACTTTTCTACGTCTTCTCCTTCTCCTCATAATAAGAAGTAGTAGTGCTTCTTTTAAATCAATTTTGAAGCTGGCACTAAACTCTGACACCACAAAATATAGATGTCAGTTGCCTCAACTGCAAGTGCGGTTAATATGACCGCAAGCCGATCACAAAAATGTGGTTGGGTCAGCCGCGAAGTGCAGTCAACGTGGCCACAATGTTGTGGTTGCCTCAACTGCAAATATGTGGTCCTTGTACGGCCGGGCTTATTGACGATAACTCCGGACATTCGCATAGGACATGCCTGACAGTTTCATCTTCCTGTTCACACATCCTGCTTAGAGGTGTGTCCACTAGCCCCATATTATGGTGGTGTTTCCTTAGTTGACAGTGGCCAGTCAGAAATCCTACTGTTAAGCGTAGATTTTTCCTGGTCACCGGCAGATATTTCTTCGGCGCCAGCTTCCCAGGGTCACCCAGGGCGATCCTGGCAAGATTGCATCCATTGATTTCATACCATCTCTTTAAGGATTGAGCATGGGTGTGTGTGACGTTTGGATAGTTCCGCAATTGTCGAAGTCATCAGGCTGTAGGTGCCACTGGATCCTAAAATTCTCAGTCCAGCCGCTTCCTTGGCTAAAGAGTTGGCAAAACGATTACCTTTACTCCTGTCGTGCCCTTTAATCCACCTCAGGATAATGCTATTATCTACCGAGGCTTTGGCTAAATCTTGGTGGCACTCTAGTACTTAGCCCTGAGGTAACACATTGTCTGTTCAAGGCTAATAGGGCTTGTCTACTATCAGTGCAGACCTTTTCTGGTTATTTCTCTTGTGGCGAATGAGATACCAGCGAGTTCTGTTTGAACCATGCTGGAATTTTCTCTTATTCCCCACTTAATCCTTAGGCTTAGTGATCTGAAGTACACTCCACATTCTGGGCCTTCTTTGGTTTTTGAGCAGTCTGTATGCATTTCTAGCATCTGACTCTGTGTTGTTTTATTTATATTTTGTAGGGTTTATTAAACACAAAACTGGGTTCAATTGCATCACTGGTTGTCTGCAACAGAGGTTGCGCAGTAAGCGCTTCTCGCCATAGGCTTAGCCTTAATTAACCCATTTCTACTTTGAGGTTTACACCAGCCTTTCTCAATCGTAACATAGCCATTAAGGCAACCTCCTTAACGTACAGGTCCACAGGGGTCAGACCCGTAATTAATTCCATTGCCGCGGTTGGTGTTGTTCTCATGGCTCCTGTGATGTTCAAACAAGCCAGTCGCTATATTTGATATAATTTCTTGATGGCCGTTGCTTGTAGAACTTTCGGTCCCCATGCAATGGCTCCGTACGTTAACATAGGTCTTATTATTGCAGTGTAGATCCAGGTGACCACACGGGGTGAAAGACCCCATGCGCGTCCCACTGTCCTCCGACATTGCTTATAAGCCACATATGCTCTTTTTGCTCTACTCTGTAGGTGAGAGTTCCATGTTAGCTTCCTGTCGAGGATAGTACCAAGGTATTTCACCTTTTTAGAGAAGTTTAGTTTACTTTTGAAGATTTCGGGAGGTTTTAAGCCCGATAAACTTCTTTTCCTGGTGAAAAAGATCATCTCAGTCTTCTTGGGATTGATCGCGGGGGGTGTTCCTTATACCATGTTTCTATTAATTTGAGCCCATCCTGCGCTTTATCGTACAGTGTGTTCACAAATTTGCCTGTCTGCATGATAACTATGTCATCTGCATATGTAATTGTGTAGAATCCATTATTTTTGAGGTGATTAATTAGGGTTACTGCATAAGATAAACCAATTAATCAGAGATTTGTCGTATTCACAAATTCAATAACGTATAGAGAAAAAAAATTAAACACCTCAAACACTTTAATAAACACCTTAGACGTTTGACGGCTGCCAAAGAAATTTTTGTGATGTTCTTATGAAGGAAATATACCTGATTTCGTCTGAGGTATTTTACAAGTGACTTTTTTTGGCTTTTGAGTACAGCATACTTTTTGAAATGCTGTATGAAATCATGAATTTTGTTAACTCTTGCAAATTCATTTGCTGAGGAGCCTTATCTCTGCGAATATCAAGAACTCTTGAGTCTACTTTGAAAAGTGCAAACTATGATGTCTCATAGATACACTGATGTGCTAATTCTTTTCTTGTATTTTCTAAATCTTATGATGCTAGTTTAAATTTTAATACCGTCAAAGCGAGTGATTCGAGAGACTGGAGTTCAATATCATTATTTGAAATATTGAATATTTCAATGAACTTATGCTTTTAAATGAATACCATAACATAACCTATATGTTCTAGGTATGTTGTTAATTTATTCAAGATTATATGTTATAGACTATAATGGTTATAGATATAATGGTATTTACTCTAATCCCTATGAAATCAACTCGGGTGTCCCACAGGGATCAAACTTGGGGCCTTTGCTGTTTGTTTTATTTATCAATGATCTTAACATCAAGTTTACATTTTTCTAAAGGGCTCCTTTTTGCAGATGATTTCAAATTCTTCAAATAAATTCAAACTGTCAGAAATTGTTTTGCACTACAAAAAGACCTTAATAGAATGTATAATTGGACCATTGAAAATAAATTATACTTTAATAGTGATAAATATAATATCATTACCTTTTCTTTGCGAAAAAACCCCATTGAATTTAGTTACAAAATTGGAGATACTTCCCTTGACAGAAAAAATTAAGTGAAAGATCTTGGTATTATTAATTATCACACTTTGTCATTCTCGAAACATTACGATGAAATTTGTAAAAGGGCTAACAAAATGTTGGGATTTATTATAAGATCTAGCTATTCGTTTGTGAACGTATTCACGATAAAACATCTTCTTATCACACTTGTAAGACCAATATTAGAATTTGGTTCGCTAATTTGGAAATCCCAACTACAGATGCATTTAAACAGAATCGAAAAATACAAAATAGGTTTACTGAGATATCTATACTATAAAGAAAAACATTGTTGGCCGTATTACACAAAAGTCAGATCAATGGATTTGAGGCAGCATTTTTGTAAAAACATCTTTTTAAATTAGACGAGATGTAACACAAATAATGTTTTTATACAAGGTGATAAACAACAATATTACAGATATTAACATATTCGAACTCATAGATTTTAATGTTCCCCAGTATCCTAGAAGAAGTCCAATCCTACCCAAGGCAAGTAAAAAAATAACTGCTCTGAGTCCTATCTCAACCATGATTTGTAAAGCAAATGAAATTAATGTTTTAAAAAATTTAGATTTCAGTAATAATTCCTCCTCAGGTTTCAGATATAATGTTATTGATTATTTATTAGAAATATAACTGTGATCGTAGAGAATAAGGTTGAAAATAAATCTTTTAATGTATATGTATAGAAGTAAGCTCACATAATTAATTTGTAATAAGAATGTCCATGTAATTAGGCTGTTAAATCTGTATGGAAAATAAAATGAAATATATAACGCTCTGGTCTAGTATCCGAGCAACTGAGCGCTTTCAAAGGAATCAAGTTTTCACATCATCGAGTCTAATTGCTTTACTTTAACGAACTCTGTAATGATCAAATATCGAAAGTCAAATACATAATTTGGTTGATAAATATCACACGTTTATTGATAATCGCCTTCAGTTCAAACAAACTCTGTTATCAACTGAATGTAATCACTATTTCTTATTCAGTTATAGAGGTTCTAACATAGATTTTACTATTATAAGTTATGAGCGTTGATATGCGATATATCATTATTAACACTAAAATATCGATAAAAAAAATACATTCAATTAACTTCTTCGTCCGGAAACGCGGCACTCAGATGTTTGCCGAAATCGTAGGTGATGATTTTCGGTGTGATGAACCCTCCGAAAAAGTTGCGCCCCTTGTGAAATATTCCAGCGCCGCTCAGCGGTACCGGCTGCATGGATTCCAGTTTCTGAGCGTCCAGGAACGGCACTGTCGTCTGGGCAGCGTCCCGATCCAGATCAGTATGCGTCAGTTCGATGTATTGGTCCGGTTTTGAAGTAGGGATCGATGGAGACGGAGATCGAATGGGTATGTCTGGGCTGAGCAGTCTAACTCTCGTTCTGAAACAAAAACGTCGAAGGTTTCAATTTTATCATTGGTAACAGCAAGATATTTGATAACTATTTTCGATTAGCAGTGGTGATAACAATGTGTGGTAGAATAGCGTAAGCTACACTACGCCAATTCATAACCACATACCTACCCATGATTCGTCACCATTTATGATACTTTTAAGCAAATCTTCACCACTGCTGACGTCATTAAACAATTCCTGAGCGATGATCCGCTGCCACACATTTCATGCCCAAAATTTCTTTAGCACATCTTTAGCAACTTCTCTAGTAGTGATTCGACGACTCTCCATAACAATTTTCTTCACTTTTTCATTATTTTCATCGATTGTTGATGTGCTTCCCGGGCGAGCGTCGTCGTTCACATCTTCTCGACCTTCTATGAAAAGCTTGTACCATTTGTAAACATTTTCCTGACTCAAGAGTACAATCACCATATGCCACTGTCAACATTTCAAGTGTTTTTTGAGCATTCAATTTCATTTTTACACAAAATTTGATGCAAATTTTTTGGTGACCTTTTTTCGATAGCAGAAAATTGCAAAACATTTCTTACTTTTATGTTTCTCACCAACAAACTGAACATGCTAGACAGCTGAAACCTTATTTTTTGAACAGCCCACTATGATATTGGCTCAGATCTGTTGTGTTTTATTCGAGAGTTTTTGTATAACTTTGGCGACAGGTACACTTTTCGGGGAATAGAAGCCTTCCTATCAACGGGTGATTTTTTAAGAGGTATAGGATTTGATTTGGAATCGATACAACAATCAATATAATTTAATGTTTGAAGATGTTGTCCACGGCTTCGCTTCAGATGGCCCATGCGCAAGGTCCAATTTTGGCACACTCTCACTAACATATCGACCGGTATTTCACGAAAAATGCTTCAAAATTGGCTTCCAGAGCGCCAGTCATTGCTGGTTTATCCCTGTAGACATGAGCCTTGACATGACTTCACAAGAAATAATCCAAAGGCGTTAAATCACACGATCTAGGCGGTCAAACATGAGATGAACTGTTCACCGAAGGCGGCTCTTAATTGGGCCATTGTTTCGCGGGCCGTGTGGAGTGTGGCACCGTCTTGTTGAAACCACATGTCAGGCAAAAAAAAATTCGTCAATCATCACACAGTAGTGTTCGCCATTCACAGTAACGTTCTGGCCATTGTTGTCTTTGAAGACAACAATGCCACCGACCCATAATCCACACCAAACAGTGACTTTCGGAATGCATCGGTAGCTCTTGCAATGCTTGTGGCTGGTCTTCACTCCATATGCGGCAATTTTGTTTGTTAACGTATCCATCCAATCAGAAATGAGCCTCTTCACTGAACACAATTTTTCGATAAAAATGTGGATCTTTGCCAGCGCTCATCCACCAAATGTTAGACGTTGTGGGAGGTCGTGTAGCTTCAATTCTTGCACCAGCTGTATCTTATAGATTTTACACCCAAATCCTTTCGCAAAATTTTCCACATAGTGGAGTAACAGAGGCCCAATTGCTGCGAACGGCGGCGAATCGACATTTCACGGTCATCACGAACACTGGCGGATACAGCCGCAATATTTTCTTGGGACTATACCCGATTTAAATTTTGTATGAGTAATCATAAAATAATAAAGGTTTTGCTATCAAACAGGATGATTATTAAATCAATACTTACAGTGGTTTGAAACCTTCATGTAAACTGTATGAACAAAAGTGGATTTATTAAAAAATTGCTCCGTATAGCTGAACGAATGTGATAGGTATCTTTCATGTTTCGTTTGTAATTTATCTCTACTTGATTATGTACTGCTTTTTATGTGAAAGTTGTTTCTCACCTTGGATTTTTACTTGCCGAATCCGTATTGGTGTTATCTTTCCAAACGCTAGTACTTTGGGGATTTATGAGTTTGCCTGTGTCGAAGTCGAATTTGCTAACGTATATTTCGAAATTCAAATGGGAACCTATCTCTTTGAATCGAACACCTGAAAAGAAAGAGAATGTAGCTACTCAACGCGGATTACCTTGAATGACTTTTTTATTGTGATCCATTGAATTGATTTGCTTACCTGTCAATACATAACCTTCATCAGCTTCCAAATCATCCAGATCTACAGCGCGTTTTTCCCAAGTGAAAGTGTGGTAATCCTGTCCGTTATATACTTTCCTATCGGTGATTTTAAACTCCTTGATGGGCACCCAATGAACTGTGTTGATATCGATATTTCCTCTGGGAAGTAATTTTCCTTCTTGAATTTGGAGGTGTATAATGCGATTATTCTTAACAAACCTCAATCCAGTTACAACCCTAAAAAATATATTTATTTTGCCAAATTGAAAATTCTATGAATATTATAGATATATGGCGATTATGTTTTCTTTAAAATCGATGCAAAACTATTTCAGATCAATGCCTACTTTCTTTCCCAAAAATCAATCACTTATAAAAATATAACCCTTTCAATGTATACAATAAAAATATTTGTATTTTTGCCAATGGTTTTATACAATGTTATCTTTGGGAAATGGGTATGTACTTTCGAATATCAAATCTGAGTAATTTTTTGGAAACTAGTGTTTTTCATCAACCTTTTTAGATATATTCATCTTTCACAATCCGTGGCTAAATGCGCCGTACGGAAGCAAAGGCCAAGGAAACCTAGAGACAAAGATCTTCCAAAATCTGTTGAAAATAAAAACTTATATACCGGTGTCGTTCAATATATTTTTCACTAAGAAAAAATGTTCTGGTTTTTAGTAATTTGTATTTGATACTTTTATCCATGAAATGAGCTAAAAATGTTAATGATACTTAACGTTTCGGAAACGATGAAAATCTGCTTTCATGTTCAGTGTAACTATGCAGAATATATTCGATTTTTCCAACTCCGAAGAAAGTGTCAATAAAATTCTTAGTTATAGACGAAACTATTAAATATAAGTTACTGATGAACAGATTTTTTCTGTGACAAATATATTGAATTCCAATAGTAACTTACCAGGGTAAACTAGTAGTTTGCCCTTTCTACACTTGTATAAAGTTCTTATTTTTTGTGGATTGTGGTAAGTGAAAAAATCTACTATTGATTATGTTCGCTACTGATAAAATGGAACTATATAATTATTGAAGTTGTTGAAGTCAAAACCTGCATTAAAATAAATATCTTGATGTACCTATTATTTTCAATGTCAGCAATGACAGCTCTCATGTTCATATATCTGTCAGAATTACTGCCCTGTTCGTCGCAGAGGCAGAAACAGTACGAACAATGCCAGAAGAGCCATCTCCACCAACTGTCCACTTTGGTGGTGCCTCTACTGCATCCCTTTTTTCTTCCCAACACCCTGCCATTTTCATATTCGATGTATTCGTATCTCCTTCCACTGGAAGGATCCTGAAAAAAATCACATCAAATAACGGTATTTATATCTACTCACATCGCTTTTAAACTTCTAGTATGATATTTTTTACAACTACTTCTGCCCTCTTATGAGCAACACCCAAAAGTTTTCAAGTATTCTGGAGATATTTTATCTCTCCAGAAGGCATTGCAAAGGTTTATACTTACTGCCGGGCAGATCCACATATCTGAATCGAAATATTGACAGTTGATAATCTTGCCATTACATCTTCTTTGTTGGCGGCAGTACAAATTATTGAAACAGCCGTGACTTTTCGTGTAGGCGTATTCTTGGCAATTTTCTCTGCAGGTTCCTTCAGGATTCAGGTCTACTTCATTTTGGACGTAGCCTTGTAAAAGTTGGGTTATCTCTTCATATGTTTCTCCTGCAATTTACGAAATAACCGAATTGATGATTAAGATCTACATGATAAAACCAACATCTCGATAGGGGTTAACATATATTATTGTTACCATTTGCAAACACAGACGCAGGTACAAACACTACAATTTTCGGAAGTCTTATATTTGTGATAATTTTCAATGCAATTGAGTTGCTTTAGTACCAACTTGAATCAAGAGTGAGCTCTAAATATAAATCACCAAATTCGACAAGTACAATGAGCTTGAAAAACAAACCAAAAAAAAAGGATTTGAGAAAATTCAAGGACAAAATCATTATAAGGTCGAAAATTCAGTTAAGCATTTTGCTATCGTTATATGTCAGGTAATAATTGATTTCGATGACACTGATTTGGATTCTGATATTGATATCGTTTATAGTGGGGGAATTTATAATAAAAATGTGCTGGTGACGTAATGAGACGGGTGTTTTGTTCCGAAATAAAGTACTTGATGGCGTTTCATATAAGTGAAATTTTATATCGTTACACTTTCATATATTATACAGGGTGTAACTGAATAAGTGTAAAACATTTGAGAGGTGATTCCTCATCGAAAAAAAGATAGGATCTTTTATATGAAGAAATTTCGTTGGAGCATCCCTTTGTAGATACAGCTCCTTGAAGGGGGTACATAAAATTTGTATAACAATTTTTTTCACATGCACTAAAAAAGTTACAATATTGAAATCACCCTTACGTTTTGTACTACCAAAAAAACACTTAGCCAGAAATTCATTTGGTTTACCCCATGGTGTAAGGAGTGGAAAACGCAACCCCTAAAATTTATTTCCAATAGCCTGTGTCATTCCAAACAAAAACTGTCTCTTGGGTTTTTTGCCCAAAATAAACCAGTTCGCAGCAAAAAATTATTTTACAAACAACTACAGAGATACATCGTCATAAATGCGAAAATACAAAACTAATCTATCTAGTAGGTCGCTATAAGCGACAGTGACAATTAAATNTTTTATGTACTCCCTTTAAGGGGCTGTATCTTAACAAGGTATGCTCCAATGAAATTTCTTTGAGTATATGAAAGACCCTATCTTTTTTTCGATGAGGAATCACCTCCTCAAATGTTTTACACTTATTTAGTTACACCCTGTATAGTGTAGCATTCCTATGCATGATATCTGATTCAATTCCATAACGAATGTTTGGACTACAAACTGAACAGAAAAAAGTGATCTAGACATCTTTGAAAAGTGTTTATTTTGAACTCTTTTTTCAGAAGTTTCCCACATTTGTATAAAGATGGAAACATTTGTATGAATATTGAGAAGTAGAAAGCCAAAACGATTTTTTCCCTGAAACTAATCTCTCATAAAAAAGATACCTTTAGCCGATCGTCAACGCTGGTGTTCCACTGGAACCCATATTGTCTTCAACCCTTTTTTAGTTTACATCAACAACTTATTGAAAAAAAAACAAGAATTCAATATTAGCTTTGCTGACGACATCATACTTGTCTCGTCATTCCATTTGGATTCCAGGACATCGGCTGTGGATGTACTTCTTCACCGGCAGCAAGAGGTTGCATATCTTATTGAGGATCTGAATTGGTGTGAAAGTAACCAGGTCCAGTTCAATACCACAAAAACTCGGGCATCGGTTATCTCCAAAAAGATAAGTGTCTCCGAACTGGATATAATGTCAGGTCAGACAATTCCGCTTTCTGCTTCGTCAAGTTTGTTGTGGGTTAAAATGGACAGCAATATGTCTTGGCACAATCATGTCGCTGGAATTGCGAAGGCTGCTTCTCGAAAGCTTGGAACACTGTTCCGAACCAGCGACTTATGATGCTTTATAGAGCTCAGATCAGACCTTCTTTGGAGTATTGTTCTCATGTATGGATCTCCGCCCCTAAGCATACCCTGAAGCTGCTGCAGCCATCCGCCTGATTGGAGATGCAAACATCACTTGCAACCTTGATAGTCTGGAACATCGAAGAAAGGTTGGAGAATTGTCTCTCTTCCATAGATACTTTCACGGGAGGTGAGGTGGCACATTTGATTCCACCAAGAGCGGTACATATCAGAAATACGCGAGTTGAGGTTCAACTCAGTACACCTCAAACTCCACTGTTTGAGAACTCGTTTCATTTAGAGAACTGCGCTCGAGTGGAATATTTGTTCTTAAAAAAAACATTTTTTTATTGTACACATTTCAATATTCTTACTGAAAAATGTGAAAAAAAAATGTGAAAACACTGAAACAAAGTAAATCTTCAGAATAATTTGTTTGAAAGTGTGGAATGTTTCAGCACATGATTTGAAACTTTCACGTTTTCAAACTTCTCTCTATGAATAAATAATTATCTGGTCCACCCACCTTGATTATACAGCCTCAGTAGCATATAGGAAAACTGTATCATCGTATATCCTTTCAATTCCGTCAGAGCTATGGTATTGTATAGGTTATAGAGAACCTGTTGTGGCGATTGCTTCGAATTGCAAATCATATCGCCTTCTATTTCCTGCATAACAAAGGACGATTAAAATATTTGATGATGATTTTATCAAGAAAATGATTCAATGCACATTTGCTTTGTATAAAAGTATAATAACGCAATTATGACATTCAGATAGCAGTCGGCTAAATGATGAACTGAAACTATACTTAAACAGTATTTTCGACAAGACCTGCATTTTATGTCAACATCGTCGCATAATGTGGTTTCGACATTTTAATGTGTGGGAAATTTCATGGAACACTTTATTTAATATCGTAACTAGTATTACCAGGAACTGAACTTGTTTTAGAAGAAAAGAAATGGCTATTATTCAGGATGTTGGAGACGGTGTTTTAAATCATTTCTAATGCAGTTTGTCACGAATCCAAGTTGCCTACTTGAACAATCTTTTCTTGTTTTTTTCCAGCACATGCACTCTCATCTTTAGATATAATTTGCCGAATCGTACAATTTATTTATTTTTATTGAAGCTTTCTCAATTACTGTAAAATAAAATTTGGAAATTATGTTGCGACACAGGGCCATTGAATCTGGTGTACCACCGGCTTCTGTGTTAGGCCTTATTCTATTTCTGCTATATATGAATGACATCTCTACGATTGACATATCTGGTAGTTTCACTCTTTTCGCGGACGATACTACAATTTTGAAAAAAACACAGTGGAGCTAAATAAAATAATATCCGAAGAAGGTGAAGAGCTGGCATCCAAAACGAATATAATATCATTCAAATGTTCGCTGGATGAAATTCCAATAGACGCTGCCATATTACAAAATAAATTAAACACAAAATTTCTCGGTGTATTCATTGATAATAGGCTGAAATTTGATGAACACCTTAAACAACCCAAGAGTAAGATGCAAATCTTCGGACAATAAAGTATATTTTGATTTGATTTGAATATTCATCTTTATATTATTTTTCTTTGATTCAGTTGAAATCGTTAATATTCTGGGGTGAATTGAATTGAGCAAACTCTGTGTTGAAGAAGAGAGGCAAACTTTTTCTGCAATTTTGAAGAAAGGCAGTTGTTTTGACCCACGATTGTTTTAGCGTGAGTATGAAATGCTCAATACATACAAGAATTACAATAACTCTTGTGAAAAGATAGGATAAGAAAAATAACTAGTTAGATGTACTGTAGACAAGACAGGATTTAATTCTAACTGTACTGTTACAAGGTTTGAGATGTGATAAATGAATTTTACAAAAATGGCAATGTTTCACATCGGTAGTTACAGAAGGGGTCAGATTCGGCCACGAATAGAAGTATAGGTACCCGTCTCTCTGAACACAAAAAACCAGCAGACCACGGCTAAAAAACCCGAAAAATAGCTCCCAGAGTTATTTCGGGCCATGAAAGGTTACGTTCTTGGACTTGTTAATATAAATATTAGTAATGAAGTTGAAATTGTTTCTGTGAACAGATCAATTAGAGAAATTTTGGTGATTCCGTAATGTGAAAGAATTACCGTGTCTACGCCAAACGAAAGTGCGCGTGACTTAATCAATTGATCGGAGAAAAAATAAAGGTCTTTAGAAGTAGGAATTTTACAGGCTATGATTTTTTTGGTCAGAATGTACAAGAGTATTGGCAACGATAAACGGGAGTGTTTTTTCGGCATTTGATAAAAAAATTCGCGTCATGTAATTAGTTAATTCAGATGTAGATTTTGTTATTGTTTACCTTTCTAGCAGAGGCGAACATATTTCCCTCGATTCCTTTTTCTATTCTAGTCATGGCAGTTTCCATGTTGTTCTTCGGGTCGTACAGAATCGTATTGGCTAAATCGATCCATGCTTGCCTCGGAGACGGTACTCGACCCGGAGCTGTCTGTAGTTTTTGGAATCGCCGAAACGTTTCGTATAGAGCATAAATTCCTCTGAGATCGGCCAAGGCCAGTTGGAGAGACCAAACACTGTGTAGTTGGTCCAGACCAAATGTTAGGTCGTTCGGCATTACCTTTGAGTTGTAGAAATTGTTGGATTGGGGAAGGTTTGGATAATTCTTGTGAGTAGTATTTTCTAGAGTTTGAATGCAAAGTCACGTTTGAGTTTTGTTGTCTTTGCTTGATAAACTAAATGAGTTTATAACAAAAATATAAATAAAAAAATTTCACTCCTAATAAACATGTAAACATTTCAGTTTCTGGGCATTAATCTACATTTCGAACTTTAATTTTGATTTGAATAAAGAATCTGAAATTCAAAAAGGTTCCTTCAACTTTATGTTTGATATTTAACCTACCCAAAACTCTAAATTTACATGATAAATAATGTTAATGTATATAAATTATTTCTAATTTTTAATTATGTGCTGTTGAATTTTGGCATGACAAATACAAAATTATATTTTGGAAAATCGTGACTTTCCATTATCCAGTAGAAAATAGTGAAATGGAGGGATTATTTGAACTGGGCGCAATCATTTCTGCCAAAACGATAATTATACACCTTTAGCAACTTGCAATACACATTAGTCATATAATTTTCCTTTCGATTGAACCGATTTGTTTTTCTTTCAGTTACTTGAGAGAAAAACGTTGGTTATTCAAAAAAAGATATGCGATATATATGGTACTGGAATAATAATAACAGTTTTACATCGCCTTCAGAACTCGTCTACTCCTGGATTCTTTTAAATCTCTGTGTTGGGCTTTGATTTGAATGTATATTCCATTTTTTTAAATCTTGAAGAAAGTACTACATTTGAGAGATCATCTACCCTATTATTTCAACAGATTCTATTTTTTAAATATCTTCATTTTGTATTCATCTTCATGTTCTGGCTTTTTTTTATTATCTTTTATGATCCTCCGTGTCTTTTTTTTTCGTTGTCATTCTGTTGGTTTTGTATATCTCTTCATACTTTCTCATTTCGCATTTTCCCATATTCAAAATATCAATTATACTTTTTATAGAAGAACAAGATGAAATTACTAAAATCGAATATCACCAATTTTATCAACACAAATTCTGCAGTTGAATATTCGTCGTTAAATCGTCCTGGGCCAGTGCTATATTACTACATTATTATTTGGAATATTATTCTAGTTCTCCAACTAATATTATTATCATATCCAGCTCGAATTTTATACTTTATACAACTTCAACACAATTATGTGGTGGAATCTGTTTTGTTGGAAAGCCGGAAATTTTTTCAAAATTGTCATCCCCCTGTTCTTGGCAACAAGTGTGGTGTCTGTCAAAATCGAGTTGACAAAAGATAGTATGATTTAAATCGCCTGTAGGAAGACATTAATGTTGATTTGTATTTTAAAGTACTCTTTGCACGTCGATATTGAAAATATTATATAGATTTTCGTGAACTTTCGATGTATATTTTATATTTATACCTCTGAAAATTTGGTAAATGTTCATATGAAGTTCTAAAAACTGCATATTTCGTAATTGCTTATGCTTATGCTAATTGCTAATGTTCATTGTTAATTCGAGTGTTAAACTCTTTTTCGATTCAAAGATATTTGTATTTCGGAAGAGTTATAAACGAGAATTTCAAATATTATTTTTGGGTGTACAAGTATTGTTTTCACAAAATAATAAAGACAAGGAAAGAAAAGATTGCGCCACATGTTAACAGTTAATCCCCTTTGTACGCAATACCAACCTCTTGCACTCTGTCACCGAATTGTTCGAATTTCTTTATCAAAGCCACTTCCGGACCTCCTTCAGTTATTTCCGAGTTTCTTACGTTATTGTCCAGGTAGTCTAAGACGTAGTTCCAAGAGTCTTCTTCCAGCTTCAAGAAATCATACCGCAACCAGTCGACATTCACTAGTTTATTGACGTCACGAGCGCATACGGTATACACAAATGTCCAAAGGAACACGATGGTCTTTAAGGTCAACATTTTCTTTTTGGTACGCAGTCACATTTGAGTTTAAATTCCAAATATCGTTTTTACTTTCTGTGTTTTTAACCTTGGGTCAAACTTAATCTGTTGAAAACACTTTTCCCACACCAGAACAAAAATACCGTCTCTCGAATAAAACTTTTAGTCGTCTACTGATGATGCTAACTTGGTTAGCGAAACGCTCGTCGAGAAACAGTAATTTTGTTCTAGTGTGGGAGAAGTGTTTTCAAGTCGAACTCAATTTGAAAAGATGGCCGTATGAAACTTTAAATAATAAAATTCAAACATTTTTTCGTCGATATATAGAGGTTTTTAAGGGTTTCTGCTCATGGAATATGAGGCTATAGGATTCGCGATGTTTTATGGCATTTGGGCTTGAGAGATTTGAAATTATTGGGTTCAGGTCACGTTATTGAGAGAATACAGGGTTTTTTGTTATAAAGTTTCTGCTCGTGGTATTGAGAGAATAAATACAGGGTTTCTGATCTTGGAATATAAGGCTATATGATTCGCGATCTCTTATGGCATTTGGGCTTAAGATATTAAGAGAATACTGGGTTTCTTGTTATAGGATTTTTTCTCACGGTTTTGAGAAAATACTGGGTTTCTTGTTATAGGGTTTATCCTCATGGTATTGAGAGAATACAGGGTTTCTTATTATAGGGTTTGTGCTCATGGAATATGGGGCTATAGGATTCGCCATCAAAGATTTGAACCCAAATTGAGTTTTGGTCACGGTATTGAGAAAATGCTGTTTTTTTTTTAGTTTCTGCTTATGGTATTAAGAGAAAGCGGGGTTTCTGCTCATGTAATATGAGGCTATAGGATTGGCGATCTCTTATGGTATTTAAGTGAAGATATTGGGTTTGGGTCACGGTAATGAGAAAATTCGGGGTTCCTTGCTATAGAACTATAGAGTTTCTGCTCATAGGGTTTGTGCTCAAGGAATATGAGGCTAAACGATTCGCGATCTAATGGCATTATAAGATTCGCAATCTCTTATGGCATTTGGGCTCAAGAGTTTGGAAGTTTTTGGGGTTGCGTCACGGGGTTATTACAAAAACCATCGGAAGGTTGTTTCTGAATATGTAAGTTTTTTTTCAAAATAGGATTTAGTTTCCATTGTCATGGCCTCGCTCTTGCAGGGGCCTCGCGAAGCGACCCTATTAAAGAAAAAAGTTGTATAGTATTTTCAAGCTCGGAATTTAATCACTTATAAATTTCATCTTCTGTCTCTAATCAGACATACCTATTTTTAGTTTACATATTTGGCCTAGTAGACATGGTTAAGGCCGCCCCTGTACTTTGATGTCGAATTTGGATTTACCAAATTGCGCCGTTTCACTAATCAGGACAAAATATAAAATATGAGTTAACACAAAGAAACTCACATTTATGTCGGAATGTCATCAAACTGCTCTTCAAAGAGAAATTTTTGAGAAATTATTGAGGAATCGATGTGAGAACGTACTTAAACCAGTTGAAATTTCAAAGCGAATGCGTTTTAAATTGGAGAGCGGCCTCGTTAGAAAAAAAAGCAGCAATCCTTAGATGATATATAATTTTATTTTCTTCGGCATTATTATGTAAACCTGACTTCAGTCATTAAATGTTGTTAGGTCACAACTTGTAACTGCGACATAGTAGCACTTTCTTCAACAACTATTTGCATTTTATACGGGCAAATGAATCGGAGTTTATCAGAAAAATTAGAAATAGAAAACTACCTTTGTCTCGTTTGGAAAAATATTTCATTGCGCCTCATAAAAGAATATGTCCAATTGAATATTTTATGCATATCTATCATGTGTTCACTTATTAAAACTGTTACTGAGTTGTTTATAAATTGATCGATTAAAGTGGTTGAATTTTCATCCGTTACTTTTTGATTATGTTGACCTCGTATTCAGTAACGTCCGAAATGTGTTCTGACGCGACCCGTTGTATTCCTCCGATTTTTAATCAATAGTTAATGGACACGTATATCCTTATTAAATGCAATTCTGTCTTTGTCGTACACCGTTGAAGAAGGATATCGCAATTTTATACTTGTATTCTAATTCGTTAATATAGCCAAGGAGTTCCGGAAATGGAAATTGAAACCCATACGGAAATGGAAATTGAAACCCATAATCATCGTTCACATTTGTCGATGTCAGATTTATTCAACACTTTGGTTCGAGTAGATCAAATTTTTTTTTCGTGACAAATAATGTAATAGAATGTTGTCAGAATATGATTGAACTCTCATAGGATTTTTCCAATTTTGGAAATTTCCAAAGATTTTTTGAATCCTGGTTATTTCTGATGTCTGAGAATAATGAAAAACAGAGTGGATTTACACTAGAAAAAAGTATAACCTGTAATGATGAAATAAAAATAGGGAGCACAAAAAATGAACTGTGATATAAAAATATATCACTATAAAATCTAGAGATGCATCGTTAGCAGTAGGGGGATATCAAATAGAAATTTAAAAAAGGAATATTAGATTTGAATCGATAAACTGTTGAATATTTGGCGCAAATACCGAAAACTCATAGTTATATTTCCATACCTAGAACAAGGTAGGTATTTGTTAGTACTGTTCAGTACTGTTGCACTGAGAGAATTGGGTACTAAAGAAAACAAAAAAGAGCATTACCTACCTGCGACAAAGTTTATTTTTCTTAGAGAAACTCTAAGAATGCAGAACGGTGTTGAAAAAAGGTTCATAAGTTGAATCATCTAAATTATTACAAAGAATCAAGGAAGATCGATAAATGTGAAAGAAAATAGTCAGCGGCGATCTTAAAAGAAATGAAAATTAAACTTCTACAGGTTAATACATCAAAAAATAGGATAACGTACCTATGAACGTAAAACTTCGTATGTTCAATGATGCCGGTCGCATTTGATGTTTGCTCTCTTTCAATTTGTTTTATATATATTTGATAATTTTCATTTCAGGCAAAATTTCCATAAAAATTTGTATATTTATCGCGTTTGTATCACAGCTAACTGAAGCTATGCAAAATCTCAATTTATAAGGAAATGTTTCTGATAAATATTGTTTTTACCCCCATTGCATAACAAATTTCAAATAAATAAACAAATATATCAAATCGATCAAGTTCAAAACAAAGTTAACGTATCGCTCGAACCTGTTAATGCAAACTGATAATAATCTGGAGATAAATTTAGCTATGTAGACCACACTGGATGTGCAATTTATCGTTTGTGTCATTTATTTAGGGCAATTAAAAGTAATTAGAAAAATTTACATCGATCGTCACAGCCTTTGTTATTTTGTCGCAGGACAAAAAACGTATTTTCCTTTGTTATTTTAATTCAATGGTTTTTAGAACGCTGCAGATTTTTACCAATGCTAACAAAACCCGGTTACGTATATCTCATTTAACACTAAGCGCGGAAATCACTTTCATTACCGCGCACAAAGACACACTTGTTCAATTATCAACTTTAAAATCGAGACACCTCTGGTACCTACATAACGGCTGTTAGTGGCAGACTAGGTATTCGATCCGTTGATTTCCTTTGGGGAAGGAGAGGAAACTCCATTACCTAGTTAAAAGAGTGAGAGAACGCATGATTCAAGTTGACGTTGTTTTATGAACTGACATCGCCATCTGTGCGATGTTGATTTAACTGTACCGTGAATCAGCTGTTTTACAGCACTGGTTCCATAAAATTTGAATCATGTTCCTTATATTCGAGTGCACACCGAAAAAAATTAGGAATTATATTTCAAATTCTTCGAAATGACGAATCATAATATCTACGATTATTTTATTGATGTATTCATTTTTTCATCCTTTCTTACTTTCTCTATGATGATGATGAAGTAGAAAGCCCAATTTTTCCTCAGTCAAGTGTCTAACTAAATGGTGTGGATTTTTACAGCTTTTGGAAAGTATAGAAGAAATTAACTGTTTTTCTTCATATTGAGGTAAGAAGCTAAGGGGGTATTAGCCTCTTATCAATTAATTAA